AGAGCGTCGGCCTGCGGACTGAAAGGTCCCAGGTTCGGTTCCGGTCAAGGGCATGTACCTTGGTTGCGGGCATATCCCCAGTGGGAGATGTGCAGGAGGCAGCTGATCGATGTTTCTCTCTCATCGATGTTTCTGGCTCTCTATCTCTCTCCCTTCCTCTCTGTGAAAAATCAATAAAATATATTTAAAAAAAACAAAAAAACAAAACAAACAAACAAACAAAAAAACAACCGCCAGCCTGAAAGCAGCCCTCAGCCCCTCACCCAGACTGGCCAGGCACCCCAGTGGGGACCCCCACCCTGAAGGGTGTGTGACCAGCTGCAAACAGCCATCATCCCCTCATCCAGGCTGGCCAGGCACCCCAGTGGGGACCCCCACCCTGAAGGGTGTGTGACCAGCTGCAAACAGCCATCATCCCCTCATCCAGGCTGGCCAGGCACCCCAGTGGGGACCCCCACCCTGAAGGGGGTGTGACCAGCTGCAAACAGCCATCATCCCCTCATCCAGGCTGGCCAGGCACCCCAGTGGGGACCCCCACCCTGAAGGGGGTGTGACCAGCTGCAAACAGCCATCATCCCCTCACCCAGGCTGGCCAGTCACCCCAGTGGGGACCCCCACCCTGAAGGGGGTGTGACCAGCTGCAAACAGCCATCATCCCCTCATCCAGGCTGGCCAGGCACCCCAGTGGGGACCCCCACCCTGAAGGGGGTGTGACCAGCTGCAAACAGCCATCATCCCCTCACCCAGGCTGGCCAGTCACCCCAGTGGGGACCCCCACCCTGAAGGGGGTGTGACCAGCTGCAAACAGCCATCATCCCCTCACCCAGGCTGGCCAGTCACCCCAGTGGGGACCCCCACCCTGAAGGGGGTGTGACCAGCTGCAAACAGCCATCATCCCCTCACCCAGGCTGGCCAGTCACCCCAGTGGGGACCCCCACCCTGAAGGGGGTGTGACCAGCGGCAAACAGCAATCATCCCCTCATCCAGGCTGGCCAGGCACCCCAGTGGGGACCCCCACCCTGAAGGGGGTGTGACCAGCTGCAAACAGCCATCATCCCCTCATCCAGGCTGGCCAGGCACCCCAGTGGGGACCCCCACCCTGAAGGGGGTGTGACCAGCTGCAAACAGCCATCATCCCCTCATCCAGGCTGGCCAGGCACCCCAGTGGGGACCCCCACCCTGAAGGAGGTGTGACCAGCTGCAAACCCATTATGGCAGAACGACCAGAACAACAGGTCACTATGATGTGCACTGACCACCAGGGGGCAGACGCTCAGCCAGAAGCTGGGCTCATGGCTGGCGAGAGCAGTGGCGAGCCGAGTGGTAAGGAGCAGTGAGCAGGTGGTCGGTCAGGAGCGAGAGGTCCGGGACTGAGAGAGGGCACAGGCCAGGCTGAGGGACGCCCCCCTGGCCGGTGCATGAATCTCATGCACCAGGCCTCTAGTAAATAAATAAAAGATTCATAGGCACAGACAGCGGTGTGGTGATTACCAGAGGGAGAGGGAGGTGGGGAGGTGGGAGAGGTATAAGTGGAGATGGAAGGAGACTTGCCTGGGGGAGGAGAACACACAAAACAATAGACATGTGATGTAATATAGATTTATACACCTGAAACCTATACAATTCTATTAACAATGTCACCCTAATAAATGCAATAAAAATACAAGAAGTTCACTGCTGGGCGGAGCTGCTGTCCCCACACTCTCGGTCGGTGGGACAGGGGTGGGGGTGCCGGGGCTGATGCGACGCCACCTGCACACCTGGGAAGCCGAGGCGCTCCTGCAGGAATGGGGACAGGTGGTGCGCTTGCGCTTGCGTGCTGTACGCCTGAGCGTCACAGAGGATGAAAAGTGAAAGCCCAGCCGCTCGCCCCCGTGCCCGGCTTGCCACGCCCAGCATCAGGGCTTCCCCCTCCCGTGTTGGCCTGTGTAACCACAGACAAAACTCGCCGGCCTCCAGCACCTTTGTTCTGACATCTTAACCGAATGTCAAAAGGAAAAGGGAAAACAGCATCAGGGCAACGCGCCTGCGTTGTAACGCCTCCCGGGAGGAGAGAGCCAAGGCAGGAGCCGTTTCATGCCTGTCAGGGTTTTACCTTCTCGGGATATCAATTGGCTGCAGCCTCATTTGACTCAAAATGAATGATAGGCTTAGAACACAACACAAGGAAGTTCAGGCTTGGCAACACCCTTGCCTTAGGCAGACCCGTAAGAACGGCCACTGTGGCGACAGGAGGGCATCCTCGCGCTGGGGCCCCGCTCCCCTCTGTGCAGCCTGAGCAGAGCGAGGGGACCACCTGCTCTGCATTGTCAGTGAGAGGGCCAGTGCCCCCGTTTCCCTGTGCAGAACGCCCGCTCAGTGGTCTCCTCATGATCCTGACCATGTTTGTTGTCACATTTCTTTTAAAACGCTGTTTTGAACCCTGGCAAGTGTGGCTCAGTTGGTTGGGCGTCATCTTGGGCACTGAAGGGTGGTCAGGGCATGTGCCTGGGTTGCAGGCCTCATGCATGGTGGGCAGAGTGCGGGAGGTGGCTGAGCTATGTCTGCTCTCGCGTCAATATTTCTCTCTCTTTCTCCCTTTCCGCTCCTCCCTCTCAAAAAACCCAGTAGAAATTTTTGTTTTTAATAAAAGTTGGTGTGAGTGCTGCTCTCAGTGCACAGAGCATGGTTTCCGGTGACATCAGCATGTGTAGTGATAGCTGTGGGCGGTAGCTGTGGGCAGGGGGCAGGGCCAGAAAGCCTGGCAGCCCCTGTGGGTGCTGCAGAGAACACACATCCCGTAGCCCAATCCACTGAAGAGCGCGAGGGGGTCCGGTTCCCGGGGCCACTGGTTCCTACATTTGGCTGCACATTGGAGTCACTGGGGGGTCTCCCCTAGACGCTGGTCGTCGGGCAGGCTGACGGCCGGCATGGGATGCTTCAGAGCTCCCAGGTCCCTCAAACGTGAGTCAGAATCCGAGAGCCATGAAGGAGCTCCCCCCACCACCACCACCACCAGAGAGTTTGAGCTGGCCCAGGGTCAGAACTGTCTTCCCGTCACCCCAAGTCTGCAGCAGGGGCACCGTCCCCCGGCAGCCCCAGAGGTCTCTGTTGAGAAAGACTTTGCCTCATCACTCAGATCTCAGCTCACCCCACAGGCAGCGGGCAGCAGGCGGCGGGCAGCAGGCAGCAGGCATTCGGCAGTGGGCGGCAGGCAGTGGTCAGTGGGCAGTGGGCAGTGGGTAGTGGGCAGCGGGCAGTGGGCAGCGGGCAGCAGGCAGCAGGCAGCAGTCTGTCTCACCAGGCTGCTGGGTGTCTGAGGACAGGGACCGACTCATGTGGGGTCCTCCCTCCACCGTCTTCCTCCCCACAGGCTCCTCCCCACGGGCTCCTCCTCACCTCAGGCTCCTCCTCCCCTCGGGCTCCTCCTCCCCATGGGCTCCTCCTCCCCACAGGCTCCTCCCCACGGGCTCCTCCTCACCTCAGGCTCCTCCTCCCCTCGGGCTCCTCCTCCCCATGGGCTCCTCCTCCCCACAGGCTCCTCCTCCCCACAGGCTCCTCCCCATGGGCTCCTCCTCCCTACAGACTCCTCCTCCCCACAGGCTCCTCCTCCCCAGAGGCTTCTCCTCCCCATGGGCTCCTCCTCCCTACAGACTCCTCCTCCCCACAGGCTCCTCCTCCCTATAAACTCCTCCCCCCCACAGGCTCCTCCTCCCTACAAACTCCTCCTCCCCACAGGCTCCTCCCCACGGGCTCCTCCTCCCCATGAGCTTCTACCCCAGGATCCTCCCCATGGGCTTCCCTTCAGAGGACTTGCCTCTCCCCCACATGCACCCTCCTAAGCCCTGCTCCCTGGGACAGACACCCCAAGAGCTGCTGCCGCCGCTCTGCTTTCCCCTCAGGCCCCCTTCTTGCCCTAATGGGCAGCCCAGGGAGCCTCCGTCCAGTCCCTGCAGTGCCCACGCTCATGCCCACACCCACGCCCGCCTCTGCTTTTCTCTCCAGCGCTTTCTTCTGTGGGATCACCTTCCCAGCCCCTCTCTCCAGCCTGCTGCTCATGCAGGTCCCAGCTTAAAATCACTGGGAACTCTGACAACTGCTCCCCCATGGAGGCCCTGAGGACGTGGGGTGCAGGGCAGCCCTGAGAGGACAGGTCCCCGGCCATCAGAGCCACGGCGACAGGAAGCGGAGTGGGGGGCCCAGGAGCTGGAGGGGAAGGGGTTGGTGTTGCCTGGGGACAGGGTTCCATCTGGGGAGGATGACAAGGTCTGAGGCGGTGCAGGTGGCCAGGCAGCAGTGTGGATGCACCGGCAGCACCGAGTGGTGAACTCACAAACAGTGAAGATGATACCTTTGGTGTCATGTGCATTTTCCACAGTAAAGTGTTCTCGGTCTCTCTCTCAGGGACCCTTTCCTGTCCTGTGGCCTAAGCCCGGGCGCCCTGTGTCATGTTCCCAGGGCCCCCCTAGCCGCACAGGAACGTTTTCCTTCGGTTCGTCTTTCTCACCAGCTCGTAGGTAGAATGCAAGCAGGTCGCGTCTCACCTCACCCATCACTGCGCACAGAGCCGGCCGCTAAGCCAGTGCTACTGAGCGTGCAGTGGGGAGCCCCAGATCTCCGCTCCCAGCCGTCTTCATGTCGGGAATGTGACTGCTGAGACGGTCGATGCGCTCTGACTGTGCAGCCCCTCCTAACGGCGTGCCCGGTGGTGACTGTGACTGACACGTGGCGGCTGAGCCCAGTGGGTCAGGTCAATGTACCCAAGTTCGGACGGCAGACCGCCCGCCCTGGTGAATGAGGATGGTGGGTGGGCTATGTCACCTTCGTGGGAAGTTCGAGTCCCCGATTCACCTGAAACCAGGTTCTTTCTGCTGCAGGTGAGCCCACGGGTCCTGAGACGACCTGTCTTGCCAGATAAATGCCCCGGAAACCGTAACCACACGGCTGGCTCAGGCTTCTTAAGAGCGACCTCCCTGTGGCCACCTTCTGGGTTAACACTGTGTTTTGTCTTCCCAAACCAGATATTTATCTTTGAGAACAACATCTACTACTGCGCTCACGTCGGGAAGCAGGCCATCCGTGTGGTCTCGACGGGGAAGGAGGACGTCATCTACAACGGCCTCAGCGACTGGCTGTACGAAGGTGAGCTGCCGAGGAGCAGGATCCTGTGGTTGCTGTGGTCGTGTGGTCTGTGGTCGCTGTGGTCAAGTGGTTCCATGAGTGCCATGGCTGTTGGGGTTGCCATGGTTGCTGTGGTCATGTGGTTCCATGGTTGCCATGGCTATTGTGGTTGCGGTGGTTACCATGGTTGCTGTGGTTACTGTGGTTGCTGTGGTTGCCGTGGTTGCTGTGGTTACTGTGGTTGCTGTGGTCATATGGTCACTGTAGTCGCCACTGGCCCTGGTGGTGGTTGATAGCGTTCCCTTTCACTTTAACTATAACTCAAACTCCAGCTTCTTGAGGTTCTGCTAAATTACAATACACTGTTGGGGCATCAGGCGGTGGCAGGAGACGGGGCAGGCGTGGGGCTTCCCAGGACTCAAGCTCTTTGGCTCGAGGGCAGGGGCGCTGTCCTGGGAGGCATATTGTACGCAAGGTGACTTCTGGGGACACTGGGCAATGCACAGGTTTCTGACTCGCTCCCAGAGGCCGAAGGCCTTTTCTGCCCCAAGGTGGGCAGAGTCAGGAAAGAAGTAACAGGTTAACGCTTCTGAAAGGAGCGGATCCACGTGAGCTGCTGCCCCGGGTCCCTGCCTCGTGGGACATCTCCTACCACTGGTTCCCTCTGGCTGAGAGCACCCAGCGGTGTGCGCTGTTCCGCAGCCAGGCAGCGAGTGGAGCTCTGCTCCCAGCACGCATGGTCCGCCCACGCTCAGAGGCCTGACACCCTGTGCTGCTGGCTGTCCGCGCAGGCTCCGTGCGAGCACCGTGCGATTTCCTCACTACCCTCCGCCTCAGGCGTGTCTAACAGATCGAGGCTGTGACAGCATCGCAGACGGGCCGCCTGAGCGACTCACCGGTTCTCACAGCTCTGGAGGCTGATGGTCCAGGTCGAGGTGCGGTGAGGCGGCGCCTGGCGAGGGGTCTCTTCCTGGTCCTCACTTGGTGGGGAGAGGCACGCCCTGGTCTCCGCACCCCCATGTAGGATGTCACCCCACCTCCAAAGGCCCCACTGAACACCAGCCCAGTGGGGGTTCAGGCTTCAGTGTGAAGCCTCTCCTAACAGCGTTCCCGGTGGTGACTGTGACTGACACGTGGCGGCTGAGCCCGTGGGGTCAGGTCATCCGCCCGGGGTCACCGAGGTTAAGGGAGAGGCCTTAGGGAGTCACATTGTTCAAGTCCTGGACAGTCATCTTTCCAGAAATCCAGACGTGAACCTGGAACCTGCGCACCCAGCACTGGGCGGAGGTGTGGCTCACACGCTTCTCACCTGCCTGCGGGGACCACGCGGCCACCACGCTGGTCTGAGCCGAGGGGGCTCCCGGTGTCATCAGGCACAGAAATGGCCTTCCCC